AGGATCTTCCCCTAGAAACTTCCACAAGAACATGGCCATGCTAACACTCTGAATTTGCACTTCTAGTCTCCAGAACTATGAGACAATACATTTCTGTTCTTATCAGCTACTCAGTTTCTGGCATTTTGTTACAGCACCCTAGGAGCCTAATACACTATGTGATGGACTCCATGGATTATCATCATGACATCCGAGTTCAATAAAAGCATCTAGTCGCCGTATCTATCTATCATCTAGTTGCTGTAGTTTGAACAAGAGCTTTAAAGTCAGCTCTCAGGATGTATTACTCTATAGATAAGCAGAAGTTGGTCTTGGAACCCTCATTCTCTAGAGGTAGAAGATTTTGTTCTACAAAACTTTAGAAGCTAGTCTTCCTGCTAGATAGCTACAACTGATTCACAGTCCTTCCCCAAGTACCTCCTTAACCTGCCTCCCTAAATCCCTCCTCCTAAAAAAACTTTCTCTGTCATTCTACCATTGACCTTTCTAATCTATCCCCAAAACTCCCACAAGAAAAAATTATTAATAGCTGAGTTTGTTGAAAGACTGTCAGAAATAATAATCACTTTGAACTTCAGTGCTATAAGGTACAGAAATGAAGAGAGAAAAATTTGGGTCATGAGTTTCTAGTTTGTAGTTCAAATCCTAATGCCAAGAGTGATATATTGCATAAGGACATAATTAGGATAAACTAACATTAGACAAAGGAGCTCTGGTGGCATAGTGCCTAAGGCATTTGACTGATAACCAGAAGGTTGGCCATTCAAACCCACCAGCCACTCCTGAGAAGGAAGGTTGGGCAATCCACCTCTTTAGTGATACCGCCTCTGAAACCCAAGGAGGGTTTGTTATGAGTCAGATCCAACTAGATGGCAATGAGTATTTTTTAAAATGTTAGATAACAGGTCATATTACTTACAAGAACAACCTATGAAATAAATTAACTTCCTCACTGAGTATAAATTTCCTGCTTTTTATGATGTGTTATGTCTTTTTAGCCAAGCTACCAGCTCTTTATCCAATAAACATGGCCATGCAAGGAATACTTCCAACTCACTTAAAAGAAGAATTTAACCATTTAACCTATTATAGCCCTGTTTTATGACCTGAAAGAGAACATACCTATTTTCAGAAAGGAAAAAAAAAATGGGTTACAAAATTAAATGAAGATTAACCAGGAAAAGGTAAAGAAACTTAGCAATCATCCATATCATTAGAATGAAGCAGAATCAATAACATGATGATGCTTAACAACAAAATAAAGATAAAATAACTGTTCCCAATCATAAGAAAATAGTGTGAACAATGATGAGGAAAGGAATTGGGTTATCAAACGGTAGAAACATTTTACATAATATAGGAGAATCAATTAGTAGAATATCTTGTCTCTGAAGAGTCAGTTAAGTCCCAGAATATTGACAGAACATAAGAGAGAACAGAAAAGGAATTTAGAGATTCAGTCCAGGAGGTTCAATATCTAAATAATGAAAGTTGTAGAAAGACTAGAGAAAATGAGGGAAGGGGGGGAGAGGGGGAGAGCTACAGGATGACGTATGAGCTATAGGTATAAAGAACAACCAGTTCAGATTAGGTATTGTCAGAATCCACCATGGAAAAAGAAACTGCTAGAACACCTGATGGGTTTGAATGTGATGAGAGAGGAGTTAGACAACAAGTGAAGGGTTTAGAATGAAAAAGTGATAAATACATAGAAAATGATCATTTCCTCCTCTATATTCACACAGCTCTTTTTACAGATCTCTATTTTAACACTTGTCCCTGTGTGGTACAAACGGTTCATGCTTAGCTACTAACCAAAAGGTTGGCAGTGCAACCCAACCAGCAGCACCCTGGAAGAAAGGCCTGGTAATCTGCTTCCACAAGGATTACAGCCAAGAAAGCCCCATGGCGTTCAGTTCTATTCTGTAACAACTGGGCTGGCCATGAAGTGGAACTGACTTGACAATGATGAGTTTGGTTTTTGCTGTTTGTTTTTTATTCCAACATTTAAAAGCTGCATCATAATTACTTACATACATACATGTCTCTCTTTATATGTAAGCAACTATTAACTTTAGGTAAAACAAAACATTATGAAATAAAGGGAAAAGGACTAAAGTATACTAAGGGGCTGGACTATGGATAGTCCTTACACTCTCTTAATAATATAAATATTGAATAAAGTAAGCAAAACTATTACAGGTAGTTTCCAACTTAGGACATATTCAAGTTATGATGAACTGCAGTAATGACCGTCTGTTTTTTATATTTGCTTTTGTACATCTTATCATTAGTAATATGTTGTTGTTATGTGCTGTCGAGTCGGATCCGACTAATAGTGACCTCTCCTTGAGTTTCCGAGGCAGTATCACTAAGGAAGTAGATTGCTCAACCTTCCTTCCAAGGAGGGGCTGGTGGTTTTGAACTGCCAACCTTTTGGTTAGCAGTTAAATGCCTAAGGCACTATGCTACCAGACCTCCTTAGTAATATGTACTACATACAAATACCAGTGCCTCATTTATTGATATTAGCATCCTCAGATGTTCACTTGTATATGTTCAATGTTATGATTTAGTGCTCAAAGCACTGCCATCCAGCAGTGTTTTCACAGCAGGCTATGAATACTGAAAAAAGAGGTATTCCATTTACGTCAGAACTAACTTAGGATGGAGCTGTCAGAACAGAACCCCATCGTAAATCAGGGACTACCTGTATATAACTACTTAGGGAGAATGAGGGATGGCAAGTATACATGGGTCGTGGGATGATGAAAGAAAGCTAAATCTTAATTTTCTATAAGAAATCAACAGATAATGCCTACCACTAAAAAGTACATAAAAGGATTTCAATGAAAGTATATTACTTAGTGACATGGAGATAAAAATCAAAGAAACAGCTACAAACAGAGAGTGGGAGAGTGTCACAGAACAGGTAACAGGGGACTATATTTTTCTGGCTCTAAAATTTCTTGCATATATAACATAGTTAAAATTCAAACAACAATTAAAAGGAAGGAAAATAAGCATTGCTATGATCTGCTCTCTCTCCACGCAGAGTGACCTCTGGAGATAGAGCTGAGCCTGGTTTATACTAATGGGAAAAACACAAATCAAAAGTGATGATGATGGAAAACTTTGAGAAGGAAGTATTACTGGCCACTCTGAACCAATTCCTGAACATAATGCTCAGGGCCACTCTCTTGCTCAAAGTGTTTTCATTTGTAAAACTGCCTGTAACCATTAGGGAGAACTTCGGTACTTTATATACAAGAGGGTTGTCATCCTGGGCAATTGGCTGAGAGTGCAATGCTTGCACTGTCCGAAGGGAAACTGACAGGGAGTCTTGTTGAGAGCTACTGCCCAACTGCTTAGATTCATCTCCAATACAAAAACTGTTCACTGACGAGTGATTCACGTGCAAATAACGTGCAAATGCTGAATGCTATACACTGAAAGTATGAGAGATTTTTATAACTCCTCTCCCTAACACTCAACTAACGAGCTCTCGTGGCACTGTGTTTATGGCATTGGGCTGCTAACCAAAACGTAGGCAGTTCAAACCCAGCAGCTGCTCCATGGGAGGAAGATAAGGCAATATACTTCCGTAAAGATTTACAGCCTTCGTAACCCGATGGTAGTTGCCATGAGTTGGAATTTACTCAGTGGCAGTGAGTTTGGTTTTATTTGGTTTAACACTCAAGCGGACTATTCCCTGGATTCAAGGAGTCTGATAATGTACACCTCACAAGCATAAGCACCTGCGTAATCAAATGAATTTTTTAATAACTTACACAGGCATACTAAGGACTGTAACTTTTTTCCCCTATGAAAAAACTCCAATAAAAAGTTCAAACAAAACTCTGCTGAAAAAACAAAAATGAAAAAAAACATATAATATGAGATATACTTTTGTAGGATTTTAAGTTTTAAATTTGGCAGAAAGCCCTTGAAAGGGATAGCATCAATTAAATAGGTCAGATTAAGTGACTAGGATTTCCCCAAGGTACCAATCTCTAACTGTGTTAAAATGTCCATAGAAATGTAATGAGACCAAAAATAAATTACATTTGTTAAAACTCCTCTAAGGGAAAGTATAGTATGCAGGTGAAAGGAATATTTTCCATTCAAACTCTTTATTTTGAACAATTTCAAACTTATTAAAAATTTTAAAGAAGAGAATAATGAACATTCATGTAGACTTCATCTCAGTTTTACCAACTGTTATGATTTTACCACATTTTTGTTCTTTCTCACTTTTTCTATCTCCTACCCTACCCTGAACTCCAAATATGTATGTGGGGAGGGAAGCATTTGTATAGAGACACATATATACCTACGTACATCTTTTTTTCCTAAATCATTTGGAAGTAAGCTATAGACTTCTTCTTACTCTATCCCTTATATACCTTAGCATGTATCTCCTAAGAATAAGAATATTTTCATTCATATATACAATATCATTAGGGTACTTAAAAATTAATGCTAATTTAATAACACAATATAATATATGCAGTCCATAAACTTTCCCAATTGTCCCCAAAGTGTCTTTTAAAGGTGCTTTCATTTTGTTTCCTGATCCAAGATCCAATCACACACTCTATTTGATTGTCATATTTAAATCAGCTATAAAGGGTAATGCAGCATCAGGTGATACATCCCAATAATAATGGATGACATCTAAGGAGGGTGGGCTCAGTTTTTGCCTAGGGAATATGAAGTTCGGAGTCAAAACTGAATTGCTAGGCCAACAAAGCAGGGCTCGCCTTCTGAAAATTAATGTTCTTCTCAATGCCAGAAAACTCATTTAAAAGTAAGGGTAAAAGTTCAAAGTACATCTTGGACAGCAATCCCAAGCTTTAAGAAATGCCAGATTATCAGCATGACCATTATAACAAATTATTAAATTGCTTGAAGTTATCTAGGTCTGACCTTAGGTATAGAAAAATCATAAAAAGAAGGTACACTTAATAATCAGATAAGAGTAGTATACCCAAGATTACCTCTTCCGTAGTTGTTCATCAGACATCTGCAGCTCCTCTTTTAAACGTATATACCTGTCTGCTCTCAGCAGCCTAGAGCCATCATAGAGGCTCAACTCTCGATCATGGATTAACCTAATGAGGTAAGAGGAAAAGTCAGGAAACAAATATATCAGATTTGAACACTGAAGTTCTTATAGATAGAATAAGTCCGTCAGCATTTTTGTCACATCTCTTATGGCTGGCCCGTGACACAGTGACACAGTGACTGCAACAATGGGCTCAAGCATGGCAAAGACTGAGGATGGCACAGGACCGGGCAGCGTTTTGTTCTGTTGGACACAGGGTCACTGTAAGTTGGAACTAAGTCAATGGCAACTAACAAACAACAACATTATTGCTGGCAATTGAGTCCATCAATTTTGTTAGACAGACCTTTTGAAATTCCAGGTTGGCTAGTGCTGTTATCATACTTGGCAAAACTGTTGGGTTACTTTACTGGAAGGTACTAGTCATGAACACTAGAAGCAGATAGACAGGAGGCACTAGGAAAGGAAAGGAGGAGGAGGGAGATGAAAAGAAATAGTTGAAGGAGTGACTGAGGATAACCAAGAAGTGCATACTAAGGAACAGATCAGTTGGCACATATTCTCTTTGGTCTAATGTAACTCTTTAAGGGATAGTATTATCAAGATATTTCCATCTTTGAGATGATAAGATTTCAAAAATCTTTATAATAAAATAACTACAATGCTATTTCATACACCAACTCTGATGGTGACGAACCAACCCACATCAAAGACAAATGTCCAGATGTTGCAAAGGTTGAGAAAAGCACTGTTCTGGATCTTACACCAACCACTAAGTCTCAAGACGCCCATGTTAGAATTGTACCACACGATGCTCATTCCACCAGCACTGAGGGAAAATTGTTCAATGCAGAGGTTAAGAGCATGGGCAGTGGGGTCAGTCAAGTCTGGGTTCAAATCCAGCTCTACAACTTACTATTGACTGAGGAAAGGGGAAAGTTGTTCTTTCTCTCTTAACTTTTATCTTTTTACAAAGTGAGTGTAATATCAACTTGCAGAAATGAAACAGCTAATTTAAGGCAGATGCTTAATATAGATGTTCTTAATCTTGACTGTACCTAGAATCTCCTGGGAAGTATTTAAAATTGCCAATGCTCAGCCATCAACCTGGACCACTTATATTAGAATTTATGGAGGTGGAACGCAGGCATCAGTATATTTTAATCTCCACTCCAGTAAGGTTGAGAGTCTAAGAACCACTGGCTCAGCACAATGCCTAGCTCAGAGTAAGTAGACTGGTAGCTGCTCCTGTTCTACTCCTTGGCTAAATTGGCAAGAGAAAGCCAGTAAAAAGTTAGGGGGAGGGGTATAAATATCCTTTTGCTTTAATTAGTCCAAAGGCTATTGAACCACTCAAACCTCAGCCTCCACTACCCTGAGATCAGAACTAGATTGGGCCCAGCTACCACTACAGATTATTCTGATCAGCATCACAACATAAGGTCCTAGACAGAATGGAAGAAACATGTGGAACAAAACAAAACTCAACATCATAAAAAAGACCAGACTTACTGATCTGATAGAAACTAGTGGGAACCCTGAGACTATGGCCCTTAGACACCCTTCAAGCCTGGAAATGAACTCACCCCCATGACCCATCTTTCAGGTGAACAACAGACAGGCCTAGAAAGTGAACAGTAACACCAAGGATGAGGAGTCTTTACAACAATCAACCATATGAGACCAAAAGCGCAGCACTTGCCCAAAAACAAAGTTGCAAAAGCTGGAAAGGCCCGGAAAAAGGACAAACGGAAATAGGAACACAGGGAGAAAGTAGGAAGAGAGTTATTACATTGCAGGAATTGCACTAAATGTCATGAAACAAAATGTGTATAAATTGTTGAATTCAAAACTAATTTGCAATGTAAACTTTTACCCAAACCACAACAGGCTAAAAATATACATATACGTATATCTACATATACATATATGCACACATATACACACACACATATATATACACACACACACACACATACATATAATTTTGCTTTATGTCTGGATTTGTCTATTTGGGAGATAAAAATAATACAAGTCTATGGAATATTTGGGAGCTCCGGTGGCATCTTGCCTAAGGCATTTGATTGCTAACCAGAAGGCTAGCGGTTCAAATCCACCTACTTCCATAGAGATACCACCTCAGAAACCCAAGGAGGGGTCACTATGAGTCACTGAATCAACTCTAAAGCAGTGAGTTAGTGAGTTATGGAATATTTATGGTAAATCACTGAAAGTTTATGATTATTTTTAAATGCTCTCAAATATAATCAGGATTAACACAAAGCATTTGGAATCTTCAATTACACTTGGTATCTATACTGTCAAGGGCAAAAAATTTTCATTAGTTAGTTGGTTTTATTCTACTCAGGTGATCCTTCCAGGTAAGTCAAAGTTAAAAATCAAATATCTACAAGTTATAGAACCACACATAACAAAAAATTATCAGTATAACACAAGATGGGACTATTTTCCCAAGAAGGGTCTTCCCTTAACATTAAATTTTAGAGAAGTTAGTTAGGAACATGTGAATATCTTTTCCCACCTGAAATGAAATAAGATAATGATAGTGATATAAATGTTCAAGTTTGTAATTACAAAGTGAGGTTTTTTTTTTTTTTTAGTCTATATAAAATATAGTCAGGCAGCTATCATACATTTTATCCACATAAATATATTTTCTCTCTTGCACCAAAAAAAAAAAAAAAACTTCAACAGGAACAACCAGTAACACAGATCCATGATTTATAAGGAGTTTATAGCATTAAAGCTGGGACTCTGACCAACTGTATAAATTTCAGTTGTGTGCTTTTTGCTATAATCAGTGCATATAGTCTTTCAAAATTACTACAAAAAATTTAATTCTGAGCTCTTTCACACAAAACTTTGCATTGGCAGTGACTTTTCCCAAAACAACCATTATTCAAAGTTTTATTGCACTGTGTTTATAATAATAAAATAAAACTACCATTCTTCTTGGATATAAAATTATGAATTTCAGCATCTATGTAACCAACTTTAAACAAAAAAGATATTGAGAGAGTTACAGGTCTACTGTTTAAGTCAGAATTTTTGGTAACTCGTCCAAACCTTTGCAGTACAGCAAGTGTGCCCGTGTTGACCCGGTGAATGCCATCCAAGAGGACAAGTTTTCCTTCCAGTGCAGCATTCACAAGGGATGAGGACCGCCAGGCAGTGTCTCCATTTGGGAGTGTGTATCTCTGCTGTAGTAGATCCCGTGCTGTCATATCCTAAAGTCAATCCCCACAAACCCCAAAGAAAACACAAGAATTAATTTTTAACAACTATAGCCTGTTTAGCTTTGTAGCATTTTCTGATCACAACATTCCACACAACCACGAGGCAGTCATTTTCTCTGATACAAGCAACACTCCATACAAGAACTAGAAAGTCACCCTCTCTGATACGCCAAAGAGAAAGATACGTAGAAAGGTTTTTGGTCACTTGAGGTTTTTTCCTATTATTCTCCCACACAATATACTAAGAGTGAGGGTTTTTGTTTTGTTTTGTTTTGCTTTTCCTTCCCTCCTTTACATATAGTAATTTGCCCCTCTTTTAAAATGTTCAGTTGTTGTTTAAAAGGTCACAAGAAGGGGGTAGTCACAGGAATGGGCGAGGAGTAGAGTTTGTTATTGTTGGGGATGGTAATTAAGGCAAGAAATCAAATGTACACAAACTGTTAAATGAAAAACAAATTTTCCACTATAAATTCACACGCAAAGCACAATAAAATTTTTAAAAAGTAATTAAAAAAATAAAATGTTCATTTGGTATCTACACAGATGATGGCAGTAATCCCCACCCAATTTCAACTGAATTCAACTCAACCAGTTTTACTCCTTCAGGGACCAGAATGTGCAGACTATGCTTTTAAGAATCCGAGGCCACATTTCTATTCAATATTGAATTGGAAGTCCTAGACAAGGCAATAAAGCAAGAAAGAGAAGTAAAATGCATCCAAATTGGCAAAGAACAAGTAAAGCTATCTCTATTTGCAGATGACATGATCTTATACAGGAGCTCTGGTGGCATAGTGCCTAAGACATCTGACTGTTAACCAGAAGGCTGGTGGTTAAAACCTACCAGCCACTCTTAGGAAAGAAGATTGGGCAATATACTTCTGTAGTGATACCACCTCGGAAACCCAAGAAGGAATCACTACATAGAAAACCCAAGAGACACAGCAAAAAAATTACTAGAACTAATAGAAACATTCAGCAAAGTGGCATGATACAAAGTCAATATACAAAAATCAGTTGGATTCCTCTATATCAACAAAGAGACCTCTGAAAAAGAAATTAGGAAAACAATATCATTTATAATAGCTACTAAAAAGATAAAATACTTAGGAATATATCTTACCAGGGACACAAAAGATCTATACAAAGAAAACTACAAAACACTACTACAAGAAACTAAAAGGGATCTACATAGATGGAATAGCATGCCTTGTTCATGGATAGGAATACTGAGTATTGTCAAAATGTCAATAATACCCAAAGCAATCTACACATTCCATGCAATTTCAATCCAGATTCCATCAGCGTTTTTTAAGGACATGGAAAAATCAATCACTAATTTCATATAGAAAGAAAACAGGCCTCAGATAAGCAAAGCACTGCTGAAGAAGAAAAACAAAGTAGGAGGTCTCCAGGACCTCAAAACCTACTATACAGCCACAGTAGTCACAACAGTGTGGTATTTGTGCAATGACAGAGATAGACCAACAGAGTAGAATAAAAAACTCAGAAAAAGACCCACCCATCTATGTACAGCTGATCTTTTGACAAAGGACCAAAACCTATTAAATGGGGGAAAGATAGCCTCTTTAACAAATTATTGTTGTTGTTAGGTGTTGTCAAGTCGGCTCCAACTCATAGCGACCCTATGTACAGCAGAACAAAACACTGCACAGTCCTGTGCGATCATCACAATCTTTGCTACACCAGAGGCCATCGTTGCAGCCATTGTGTTAATCCATCTCGTTGAGGGCCTTCCCCTTTTTTGTTGACCCTCCACTTTACCAAGCATGATATCCTTCTCCAGAGAATGCTCCATTCTGACAACATGACCAAAGTAGATGAGACGAATTCTGGCCATTCTCTCTTCCATGGAGAATTCTGTCTGCAATTCTTCCAAGACAGATTTGTTAGCTCTTTTGGCACTCCATGGTACTTTGAGTATTCTTCACCAACACCACAACTCAAAAGCATCAACTCCTCTTCACTCTTCCTTGATCACTGTCCAGTCTCACATGCATATGGGATGATTGAAAATACCACGGCTTGAGTTAGGCACACCTTAGACTTCAAGGAGACATCTTTGCTCTTCAGCACTTTAAAGAGGTCTTTTGCAGTAGATTTGCCCAGTGCAATATGTTGACTAATGTCCTGACTGCTGCTTCCATTGGAGTTGATTGTGGAACCAAGTAATATGAAATCTAACAACTTCAATCTTTTCTCCATTTATTGTGATGCTGCTTATTGGTCTCACTGTCAGGATTTTTGTTTTCTTTTTGTTGAGATGTGATCCATACTGCAGACTGAAGTCATTAATCTTCATCAATATGTGTTTCAAATCATCCTCACTTTCAGTACGCAAAGTTGTATTGTCTGCACATTGCAGGTAGTTAATGAGTCTTCCTCCAATCCTGATGCCATGTTCTTCTTCATATAATCCAGTTTCTCAGATTATATGCTCAGCATACAGACTGAATAAGTATGGTGAAAGAATACAAGTCTGATGCACTCCCTTCTTGATTTTAAATCATGCAGTATTCCCTTGTTCTGTTCAAATGACAGCCTCCTGGTCTGTGTACCAGTTCCTGATCAGCAAAATCAAGTGTTCTGGAATTCCCCTTCTTCTCAATGTTATCTGTAACTTGTTATGATCCACAGACTCAAATGCTTTTGCATAGTCAATAAAACACAAGTAAACATTTTTCTGGTATTCTTTGCTTTCAGCCATGATCTGACATCAGCAATGATATTCCTCATTCCACATCCTCTTCTGAATCCAGCTTGCATTTCTGGAAGTTCTCTGTCAATATACTGCTGCAACCATTTTTGAATTATCTTCAGCAAAATTTTACCTGTATGTGGTATTAATGATATTATTCGATAATTTCCACATTCTGTAGGATCACCTTTCTTTGGAATGGGTAGAAATACAGATCTTTTCCAGTCAGTTGGCCAGGCAGCTGTCTTCCAAATTTCTTGGCATAGACAAGTGAATACCTCCAGTGCAGCATCCATTTGTTGAAACATTTCAATGGGTATTCCATCAATTCCTGGAGCTATTCAGCTTTGACTTCTTCCTTCAATAGCATTGGTCCTTGATCAGATGCCACCTCATGAATTGGATGAACATTGACCAATTCTTTTTGGTGCAGTGACTTTGTATATTCCTTCCATCTTCTTTTGATGTTTCTTGTCCATAGAATCTTTCAATACTGCAACTCAAGGCTTGAATTTTTTCTTCAGGTATTTCAGCTTGAGAAATGCTGAACGTGTTCTTCCCTTTTGGTTTTCTAACTCCAGGTCTTTGCACATTTCAGTATAATAAATGACTGGGTCATCTCAAACTACTGTTTGTAATCTTCTGCTCAGCTCTTTATCTTGTCATTTCTTCTATTTGCTTTAACTACTCTTTGTTCAAGGGCAAGTTTCAGGCCTGGTGGCTCAAGACCAGAGTCTCAGGGGATATCATGCTCAACTGGCACACATAGTTCCTAAAAATTTTGTTCTACAACCTAATTTGGTGAGTAGTGACTGAGGTCTTAAAAGCTTACAAGCAGCCATCTAAGATGCAACTGTTGGTCTCCTCTCCTCCAGAGCAAAGAAGAGTGAAGATCAAACTCATCTGGTAACAATTAACCCAAAAATAAGATGGACCATGAGGATTTCTGCCTCCATGACCAGAAGAACTAGATGGTGCCTAGCTACCAATGCCAACAGCTTGTAAAGGGATCAAATCTGGAGATCCCACATAGAGTGGGAGGAAAAATGTGGAACAAAATTCAAAAACACAAAAATAACCAAAATTGCTGTTCGGAGTGAGACTGGTGGAACCCCTGAGACTATGGTCCAAGGTTACCCTTCAGGCTTAGAAAGGGACTCATTTACATGGATTGGCTCTCAGCCCAACAGTAGAAAGACCTATATACAGAACATATACCCTAGGTTGATGCACCCACTTCCTCTAGGGAGATGCACCCCTTGGATCAATCAGCCAGGAGAAACCAGAGGGGTAGCACTCACATAGACAGAAAGCTGGACAGACAGGAAGGCAAGGAAGAAAAGGGCCCAGGGAGGTGTGGTTAAAGGGGAGAGAGGGGAGGAGAGTTTTTTACAATTAGGGATGGTGATTGGGGCTGTGAAGTCAGATGTGCAAGAACTGTTGAATGTAAAACAAGTTTGCTATGCAAATTTGCACCCAAAGCACAATAAAAAATTAAAAAAAAAAAAAAAAAAAGAATAATTCGAGGCCACACAAAACTCAAGGCAGGGGCATGGAGATGCTTATCAATAATGTGCTGTTGATGACTTCTGAAAAGCCATGGTAGGGACCATCCCAATGACTCATTATATTTAAAGAAGGGTAATAATGGAGGAAACTGAGTGGGACAGTCATCAGATGAGGTACAGGAATTGTCAAACAATAGCATGGCACTTAACAAGCAAATTTTTAAAGCACATACAGAATGTGCAAGCACTAAAATAGTGTAGCAGATTTAAGCAAACTATTCATAGTTATAGCAATATAAAAAGTCATCGACTAAAAAAAATGTGGGGGCCTATAATATGGATATATTTTTATTACATGTGTTATTGTTGAAGATGATAGCTTCTTTTCTGTTATCAATTTCAGGTACATTTCACTTGGCGCTCTGATAGTAGTTAAGGCATTTGGTTGCTAACCAAAAAGGTCAGTGGTTCAAACCTACCAGCCAGTCTGCAGAAGAAAGATGAAGCAGTCTGCTTCCATAAAGATTTATAGCCTTGGAAACCCAATGGGTTCCCTATCAGTCAGAATCAACTCACTGGTAGTGAGTTTAATTTTTGTTTTAGCAAATAAAAGTTAAATGTTTCCAGACAATTTTATCCAATAGTTTAAACTCAAAATCCAAAACCAGTGCAAATGAGTTGATTCTGACTCAGAGTAGAACTGCTCCATAGGGTTTCCAAGGCTGTAAATCTTTATAGAAGCAGACTGCCTCACCTTTCTCTCA